ATATATATACCCGAAATTTATGAAAATATTATCTTTTTTCAAAAAATTAGAATAACTTTTTTTTCGTTTACTTATATAACATAAGAGTGATTCATCATTTAGAGGAATCGATTTCTTTTATGAATGAGATATTGAGAGATTATCATTTCATTAGACTGCTGTTGCAACCAATTAAATTATCATTCACATAATTTTGTTTTCTTATAAACAAACTGTTTTTATTTCATTTCATTAACTCCCCGATATGAAAAAATACTATGAATAAAAAAATAGTATGATAACTGTACTGATTTTTTATATTTTAAATAAAATAGTAATAAAATAAATGTTTTTATCCAAATTTTTCTACGATTATTATTATTTTATGATGATTATTTTACTCTTTTAATTGACAGAGTGAAAGGATGGGCGTACAAACTAGGCTTCGAGCTGTCACAATTGGGCAAATTCGTGACGAAAGTGGAAAAGTTCAAAGACAGCTACAAGACGGCAGATATCACGCCACGTGACGGAAACGCTCTCGTTCATGAGATTGCTAAGGACATTAAAACTATGATGGAGTCTAAGATCTCGGCTATCAGAGTGCGATTCTTTTATTTCGTTTCTTCTCATTTACGCTAAAATTCTATATATATTCTATATAAATAACATTGGATAGATTTAATTCTTTATTATTATTGAACTTATTATTTTATTTAAAGCATAATTGCAAATTATACTCATTTGGGCATATTAGGCAATTTTATTTTTGTTTTCAGAGGATAATGGACGTGGCAGAAATGTCGGCGTTGTCATCATCCGACGTGGATCCGCCGAAATCCTTCGAGTTTATCGATGCAAAGAATAATAGTATCAACCTTGAATATAGTTCTCACTTCGGTGGTGATGTGAATCTCAATATGTCAGCGGTGCACGTACCCACGAATGTGTATGATCGCGCTTCGAATGTCATTCGAGCAATTAAGTGGTCCGAGGAACTCGATCGTACTTTCATCAATAATTACGAGCATGATCCATCATTGTCCTGGCAATACTTCGGCAGCGCGACTGGTTTCATGCGTCAATACCCTGCCACAAATTGGAACATAGAGTCAGTGGATCTATTCGACTGCAGGACGAGGAGCTGGTACATTGAAGCAGCCACCAGTCCAAAGGATATTCTTATTCTGATGGACACGTCCGGTAGCATGACTGGTATACGACGGGAGATCGCTAAGCACGTTATAAATAACATCCTTGATACCCTTGGTAACAATGACTTCGTCAATATCATTACATTCTCTAATGAAACTAAAGAGGTAAAAATCATCGATAAAATTAAATTTATCAATCTAAAAAAACGAAAAAAAATATAAATTATAATTATAGATTAGTAGAATGATATTTATTAATTGATTGATTTATTATTAATTGATATTTATTGACGAATTTGCAGGTAGTATCGTGCTTTGATGGTACCCTGGTCCAAGCAAATCTGGCAAACATACGCGAGTTGAAGAGAGCCATTTCGAATCTCAATACAGAAAGGATCGCCAACTTTTCTCTGGCTTTGACGACTGCTTTTGAGTTACTTGAAACATTCCGCAACGAGCGAGAAGGTGCAAGATGCAATCAGGCAATCATGCTAATCACTGACGGTGTACCATACAATTACAAGGATATTTTTGAAGCATACAACTGGAAGGATAATTTAGATGAGCCGTTGAAGGCCGATATGCCTGTTAGAGTATTTACTTATCTAATCGGTCGAGAGGTTGCAGATGTGCGGGAAGTGCAATGGATGGCTTGCGCCAATAGAGGATACTATGTACATTTGTGTACGCCGGCGGAAGTCAGAGAAGAGGTCAGTCGATTGGAATATCTTTCAAGTTTGACAAATAAAAAAAGATCTCCAAATCTAACAAATAAAAAAAGTTTCTAAAAAATTAATATTTGATAAAAATAATTGGAAAAAAATTACTATTAAATCTTTATTACTGAAATAGACAGTCGTAATACTAAATTTACAAATCATAGAAGTTTTAACATGGAAGATTATGGGCGAGAAGTCTTTTTAAGATACTCGAATGAATAAACTAAAATTAACATAAAAATAATAAATGAATAAAACTATTTTATTGTAATATTTTATTGAAAATCTTGCTTTATAATGACTTGTATTAGATTTCAATAAATTAAAACTTCGGGCTCTTGATTATAAAGAGAATAGAATCAATATAGAGATAATTAATAAAGAGAATAGAATGTTGGGCGATTGAGAGCTCTCACTAATGCGATACTTCGTGCGTGATAAAATTCTGTATTCTGAGATCTTACAAATACATTAATTTGTTTCGAATCAACTAATGTATTTATAAGATCTCTGAAACCAGCGATGTCAATAATTACTTCAAAACATAAATCGCTGAAGATGACTCGAACAGAGTCATGAAACATCTGATCAACTAATGTATTTGTAAGATCTCAGTATACAGAATTTTATCATCATACACGAAGTACTGCGTTAGTAAGTGCTCTCGGCCGCTCTCCTTGGTATTATATATAGATTTATTAAGTTTTTCGAATTTGTTAGGTATTGAAGTATGTACCGGTGATGGCGAGGCCCTTAGTGCTAGGTCGCACGGATCATCCTACTATCTGGACACCCGTCTATGCCGACGTGACTGATCCAAAAATGACCGATTGGTTGTGGGAGCAGCGCGAAAATGACGAACAGAAAAAGCGCTTTTTGAACTATCAAAGAAATAAGAAGTTTCTCAACTCAGAGGAACAGGATCGGCGATATGTGAGCAATCAGAAATGGCGGTATGATCAGACTGAAGAACTGCAGGAATACAAGCTAATGACCTCAGTCAGCATGCCAGTGTTTGATCGACGTGATAACGCGGTAAGATTGGTATTTGTTCGTTATTTTACAAATAAAATTCAAAATCGGCAAAAGGACGACAGTCGTGTGTTCCGTACGTTGTCGATAAAGGACAGCTTAAAGGTTAATTAAGATCTTCTTATGTTGAAACAAAATGATAGTTCTCTTCAGCATTCATTATCAAATATCACTCACTTTTTTCTTTCTGTTGTCTGCGCTTTCATATGTCTTCACGTTCTTCACAACATTTTTGTAAATTCTCTCAAATGGTGTAAATGTGATTTCTTCATTAATACCCAAAAATATTAAACGAGACAAAAATCGCAAAATTCGCGAATCACATTTCCTTGAGGTATATATTCACGCTGCACTTGCTTTGGTTTTAAGTTCCTCTTTGTCCACAGAACATCACAAGGCAGGTGCTGGTGAATGAAGCATACTGGGTGACTGAAACAAGAGAGGTTGGCAGCTAAACAAAAAAAATCAAGCAAAATTATTCTATGATGCATATAGTACATCCTGTATTTTTATCTTTCGTTTTCGTGCAATCGACGACCTATGACCTCATCTTCGCTATCAGTCTTAATTGTCGTTTTATGGACCTTAATTTATTATTCATTAGATTCGTTAAACTTTGAAGAATATTTACTTTGAAAAAATATTACTTAAACAACATTGTAATTATTTTAATTTTTTTTGTCTCTGTTAAGGAAACATTTTAATCTATTAAAATCTATTAAGTATAAAAAATATGTATAAAAAATATAATTGCGATATAAATGATGCTGGAACAAGGTCGTAGATGCACAGATCTCTTTTAGGTCCACATTCGTCTCTCTGGTATCTTATGTTGATCTCTAACGTTAGTTACTGGAATTATTTCAAATCATTAGGTAGGTTTAGGTACGTTAGTCTACCCTGTGTCCTGTCGAGACGAGTAGAAAAAAAGGCAAAGTTCTGCCCGCCTGTTGGATTGCGTTCGGCGAAAAATAATATCCTCGTAAAAATTGATTCGTAGAGATCGTTCTGCAGTGACTACTATATATCTACATAATGAAAGAGAGAAATATTAACTGAAGGAGCAAGCAAGTGGATTTTCAAAAACAACTCTCGTTAATAAAATTAAAATTATATTTTTAAGAATTTTTTATAGAGAATTTTGAAATTAGATTTATAAAGATGAAAATAATGATTTTTATATAATGATAATTATTACCTTTTCTAAGCACTTGCTCCTTTTATTATAAGTAACAGCAGGCACGCACGTACATGAATAATATGAATTTTGGCAATTTATTGAGTGCTAGATTTTGTTAGTCAGAAACATTTGTAGATCTAATTCAAGAGACGACCTCTCAAAATTACCTTAATTAATCTTACATACACGCATGTACATATCTTATTTATCTTTTGAATTGAACAAAAAATTTGCATAAGTGTTGCTTTAATCTGTATTATTTTTATAACATCATCAAATAAAATATAGAAGTAAAATATTCTATTAAATTATTTTCTATTAAACGAGAAAAAGAAGGAAAGAAAGGTCGTCACTTCGAAAAAAACAAAGCTAATTGTTACTTAAACTAACACTTAGGGTAGCCTGCGTCAGATGTTGTTAATTAATTATAGAGAGAATTTGTTGTTTAATTATTATAGAATTTTCATTGTGTATGGTTATTATTATTATTATTATTATTATCATCATCATTACACACACACACATACACACACACACACTATACGCACGCGCACACGCACCCACGCACACACCCACACACACACACACACACACACACACACACACACATTAAAACAGTAGTTGAGCTAGTTATTGCGTCTAATCACAAGAAATTTACACTCTTATTGCTCGTCCCTCTCGCGCGCATTTTTAAACATTTTCAAAACAAAAAAATATTTTAATTTTAATATTTGACATTTTATAATTTGCACACTTTTTCAATCTACTTCTCATTCTGCAATATAGATATTATTTTAATAAACGTTTTATTCAGCAAAACTTAGCAGTAATTATTTCACTAAAATTTGCAATAACGGATAATTAATTGTCCATACTAACTCGAACAAGTTAAGTCTTACTTAATGTTCTTGTTTTTCAAACATATTGTACACATATCATTATTTATACGTATTTTTTGCCATTGAAAATTATCAAAAGACCGTATTACTCATTATTGTATACACGCGAGGGGTGATCATTTCTCACACATATGGTTTTTTTGATATATGAAAACGTGTTTATGTAGACGAACTCATTGTGATAGAACATTGTTGGAGAAGGTAGATACGCTTTTGGTTATGCGACTTGAGATGATGATAATTCGTAATTTATTTCAACATAATAACATTGTCATGATATAATAGAGACGTCACGCAATGCGACATATAATGCAAGTTCTCTTAACGTATCAATAATTGTCTGCGCAGACAATGATCGCCAATCTACTCGGTGTTGCTGGCACGGACGTACCAATCGACGAAATTGAGAAATTTATGATTCCACATATGGTAAGCAATTTTTTTTTGTTATTATATATTTATTGCTATTTACATATTTTTATTTTACAAAAGTGACTAATTTTTTATCATTATCAATTATAAATAACAATAATTAAATTATAGATGAGAGTATCAGTTTAGAATACTTTATCACCTAAAATATAATAGCTACAATAAAAATCTATAATGTTGGCAATTAATTATAAAATAAAACAAGAGTTAATTTAAATTAAATAATAATTAAAACCAAAAATACTAATAACGCCAAAATTAAAATTAACTAGTATTTATCAGCACTTTGATTATTTCTCTCACTTTTCATCATTTGTTTGATACTTTTTTGTTGACGTAGATTAGAAAGAGGAATTAAAAATAAATATGATCCATAATAAATATCGTATGACATGATGAAACAATATTAAAATAATAAATAAGATATAAACGAAAAATTAAATATCTCTTTGGACATCGAATATGACGATTCTATTAAGAAGAGTGACATGAAAATGCTATTAATATCCATTAGCTTTTATGATGCACACAGTGCATCAATTGACAGCATAACAAATGTTAATCATGATAATACAATCTTCTTTTTCTCTTTATCTTCGTGGGAGCAGCTCGGCGTCAACGGTTACGCTTTCATTGTGACCAACAATGGTTTTATTCTGATCCATCCTGATCTTCGACCAGTGGTAATTTGGCTCTTTAAATTATATTATCATATTTAACTTTTTTTGCACGCGCATACTTGTGTTTCGATTTGATGTTTATATTATGTGAAATTGCAAAATCTTTATTATTTTATTAGCAATATTGAGTTTTTAGTGTAAAAATAAATATAAGTAATAATAATATAAATAATAATATAAATAAATAAAAATAATATTATAAAAATAGTTTCAGCGTATCTTAAAGCCGGCATATAATAGTGTCGACATGGCGGAAGTTGAACTAATGGATCACGATATGGGCCCCAGAGAATTTGACGAAGGAATCATTATGGTAAATAAATAAAAAAAAAAACAATAAAATTTTTTTTCCATAAACTTTGGCAGATTTAGAACAAATAAAAAATAATTTCTGTAAAAGTCGGCAAAAAGTGAAATCGTAGAACATCAATGACACGCTCTTGAAATTTTGAGTACTACTATCGTTAAATGTTACATATACATGTAATAACAAATAATTATGTATGAGTTTATGGCATCTTTTCGCAGCTTCGCAATAATGTGGTGAATCAGATGAATGGTAGCGCGACGCTTTATACAAAATATCATTACGATGACATGGTGAGTATACTGTTATGATATTTTAACGATAAATATTCATAAATACAATTATTTAACGAAGATTTTATTTTTGCATTTGCCACTAAAACGTTTTTCTAAAATTTTCATTATTATTCGGAGAAAAACAATATCAGAATAATAAATGATAATCTAATAATTTTTAAGGCTTGTATTTTTTATATTTTTATTTTATCACTCGTTCGCTTTAGAAAGGATTTTGATTTAAATCCAACATGTTTTTACGTAGATCCAAATGTCTTTTCTAAAAAAAAATAAGAATTCTTTAATACTCTATAACAATAACAATAGTTAATTAATAGAAATAATAGTCTTTTATAAAATGATCTCATATTACTTCAATTGATTGTTTATAATATTGTTTATTGCTTTAGAAACGTGTCGGCAGAGTAAAGAGAAAATACGATTACGCGGGAATAATGGACACTCCATTTACAGTAGTGGTCAGTTTGCCTGAACACGATCATACTGGAAATTATCGCGTGCACGCTATCGAGGAGATACATCGATCTCACGCTAAAGGTACACATTTCATTCTAACGAACTATCTTACAGCGACGAAAGCTTCCACTAACACAATTATTAGATTATTTGCATTTATATTGAGTCTTCTTAATAACATACTACATTTTCTATTTTTAAAATGCCAATAGTTGTCCGAAATTATTTTACGCAGAATATTGAGCATTGTTATTTGAACATATTACTGTAAATTATTTATTTAAATGTACTTTGAGAAATTAATTGATTTATTAAAAATGAATTGATATCAATGAATTGATAATAAAATTCGAAAACTCCTCGACATTACTCAAGTAGAAGATGACATGGTCGGACAAGTCAAATAGATGCCGAAAAAAATTTGGCGATTCAATGATGTGATTATGAAAACCTTCACGAAAATGCACGAAATATATATTTTTCCTTTGAATATAATCCCGTTTTATTACATTCAAAGTATAGACATATGACAGTTTGCAAGCTACAATGTTTTGCTGTAAAGTTCTCACTTGGTACGCAGTTTGGAGTCGCAAAGATATTCGCAAACAAGTTTTGTATTGCAACGATTGTGAAATTCACATTGTCGCTAAATGCTTTATATAAATCTAAAGTTCCCGATAGGAAAGTTTGCTTATCCTAAACAAAGCCCTGTACATACATCTCATAACACTTGTATTAACATTGTAAATTCTAAGAAAGATCTGTGACCCTTATTTTGCTAATTTGGTTTTCACAGCGACAAATAATATTTTTTTACTCATAATAGATAAAAGAGCGATTAGTTTAAAATTTTTTTTATCGCTTTATGAAATTATTATCTTATTAAGATGATAACAATTTCAATTTCTGCTTCGGACATTAAATTAAACTATTATTTTTTCTTTTTAACTTATCGAGGCTTTCGTCGCTGACCTTGATCACTTATGTCAAATTTGAACGAATTGAACTATTGTAGGGAAAAACGTGACAGATTATTTCGCGGGTAGTAACTGGCGGGTGCATCCCCATTGGCTATATTGCAAGTAAGTGCTGAATGAATTTTTAAAATAATTCTGATTGATGTAAAGTTTGTTCTTTTTAGCTATATTAAAATTTATGTTCAGCGAAGAAAAATAGATTAATAAACTAATGAAATGCGACAATCTTATGGATCCACTTATACACAAACTCTATTGTAAATGTTAGGTATCATTACGAGGGTGAACATAAGTTCAATTCCTCGGAATCACAGCTCCTACATTTTCTGGAGCGTACCCGCCTACCAGGCTGGAAGTGGATCGACATGAAGCAACGATCCAAACCGCCAGAACACTCCGCTACGAGTTCCAATCACAGCTCTAATCGTACGCCATCTCTTATTATATGCAATTTCTTGTTATACATATTTATTGTTTATCTTTAGCATTGCTTTAATAAAAAATGTTTCTAACAATACTAAAATTAATAGCATTTAAATTTTTTGTGTGACAGCTAAGCCCTACAAGGCCGAGAACAAGAATTCATACTTTTGTGACAGGAATCTGCTGCTCAGTCTAGTATACGATGCTAAGGTAACCGAGTGGTTTGCCCAGCAAATCCCACCAAATCCCAGCACCAAGGAATCAGGGTGAGCATAATTTTGATTTATTAGCTAACATAAGAGTGCTTTACATAGCATGACTAGACTACTTGGAAAAACAATGAACGAATTTTCCTTTTCCCTATTATTCGCATAAACTAGGGCGTGATTAATCGGTCAAATAACACAAAACTCTAATACAACTACTCGCATTTTGTAATACTCGCATATTTCATATTGTTTTTATTCTTATATAGATATAATTCTATAATTAATATTACTCTTGCATTAAAATTAACATTATTTTATCACTATTTGATAATTAATTTATAAAGAAGTTATTGAACAGAATTATAACAAAAATTGGATAGATTTAAATTCTGAATTTATAACGAATATTTAATATTAAACAGTGGCCTGATTATTGATAATCTATCAAAAATCTATCTAGCAAATTTTTGTAAAGATAAAATATAAAAAATAAATTATAATGTAAAATAAATAAAGTTGGAACGATTAATCGCTACTCAACACATCTTTAGGACGGAGACATCGCTCTTTCTCTACCATTATTTCCTTGTCAAAGTTAAAACTTACACGTGCTCATTTTGAAACACTCCGTCCCGTGTTTTTATTTTAGTTCTCTATTTTATGCACAGTTCTTTCTTTTCAATTTCTCTGTCTTGTTTCTATGAGGATAGAAAATTCACCTATTCCTTTTGACTAATGTCTTACCACTTTGACGCCATGCAGACCTTTAGCTAGGCTGATGAATCAGATGACCAGGTAACGCCATCACAACGCACCTTACATTCTTAGAAAATAACAAATTAACTTTCAACCGTTCGTACATTATAATGCAAATGTCGGTTGTCCCTATCTTTCTCTTCTCTTAACTTTATTTTTTCCTCTCTCGTTTTTTCATAGAACTTTGTTTCATTTTTCATTAGGGAACTGTATTTATTATTTTCTTTCTAATTAATTAAAATTAAAAAATTTGTATTATGTATTTGTAATATGTATATAAATTTTACAGAAAAATTGATAGAGAATCTTTCGCGATTTTTCTTTTCTTAATTTAATTTGCTATCTTTTTTGTAAAGTACTTATTCAGTATATTAATTAATATTTCTATGCGATATAATCTTATTTTCTTTTCTTCTGCTTTTTTCTTCTTACTCTCTTTCTCTCTTCATCACTTTCGACACTTGGGATCAGCGCTAATTAGCTTGCAAGTCGTAGGGCGATTGCCATCTTTCAGGATCAGAAGATCTGAAGAAGAAGAACGCTTTGCGAACGATCTGCGAAAGCAAGAAGATTTTTCCAACGTGCAATTGATTTCGATTGCTTCGAATGCTTTACAGCATTTTTTAAAAGTATTATTCGTTCGTTTGCGCCATTCTATAAAAAGACAGTTTTTTCTCTGATAGTTGAATCTTTTACAACCTTATTTCAATATTTAATTTAAATAAGTAATTAACGAGATGATAGAAAAATATATATAATGCTACAATGGTAAAATCATGTTTTATTTGTAATAAGATATAACTCATCTGATTTTTCATGAATCAAATAATAAATTATTGTTATGAAATCAAAAAAAAATCAATAATAATTGTGACATAATTTTTTATCCTTCTTTATTTGAACTTGGGATTTTTCAAATCAAATCCCATAGAAATGGCGCAAAGGAGCTGCGAGCTGCTTGCATACAAATTTTTGAGACCTGTATAACTTGTATTATAGTTACATATCAAATATCTTAAAATGATTTTTTCAAAAAAGTATAAGTAAACGCCAGTTCGAGTCGTAGACGATCCGAATCGCTATTTCTAAAGTGTCTTCTCTCGTAGGAAGCAATTCAAACAACGCTTTGGGGTAGTCTTGGCGTTTATGGCTACACATAATGGATTGACCAGATGGCAAGATTTTCTTCGAGTAGATGAGAATATGTCGCTGCCAGAGAATCATTTCAGTAAATTGTATCCTCATGCTATCGACGAAGTGTGGTATAAACGAGCGGTCGAGCAATACTACATAAATGAGGATAGTTTCGTTTTTTCCGTACCTCTCAAAGATAAGGGTGCCAACAATTCCACTTTAGTCACTGCCAGTCGTGCTGTATTTATTGGTAAGTTAATAATCGATATTCAAACTGTCATCAAAATAGAAGAGGAATATTTCTTTTCAATTCTGAAATATTAAAATGAGATTAAGATAAGCGAAAGAACATAAGAAAGACGAATAAGTTTAATTGAGAACTCAATTAGATTTATTTATCTTATTTTTTTTAATTTCCTAAATACTGAGATAGAAACAAATCATCCAAAATTACATGGGATCAATATAATTCATAATATTTACAAGATCCATATTTGAAACATCTTTTAAGTAAGTAATTATTGTTAGCTCCAACATTAATTTAAATTTAATAATTTAATGACTTTAATGAGATGAAAAGACTTAATAAGTCAGATAACTTGCTTTAGATACAAATGATACATATATATAATGATATGTCAGGATATTAAATCTGCAAAAATAAATTTATAGAAAACGCGAAGGGGAAGGCACCGGCCATGGTGGTCGGCTTTCAATTCCAGCACACTGCCTTGCAAGCGCTTTTCCAGAATATAACGCTTAACTGCGATGGTAATTGTCATAAACACTGCGGCGACGAAGTCTGGGCATGCTATCTCATTGACAATAACGGCTACATAATCGCCGCCGAGGACGAGACAGACGCTGGTAAATTTTTTGGTGATGTCAGAGGTCCGATAATGAGCAGCTTAGTCAAGGATGGTGTCTTCGAGAAGATAAGGATCTTTGATTATCAAGCGGTGTGCTTCAAAAGTTCACAAACCAACAACGCTGGCAACATTCTTCTTACTGTGAGCACTTTCAATTGCAATATACTATTATTAGGTACAAGTATGAAATGACGATTTGAGAACCAATGCAGTGTGAAGTACAAAGATTTAACATTATACGCCATTTTATTGTACCATCAACAAGTGTCAAACGTGCAAAGTGATTTGATTGAAAAGTGTTTGCATAGTGTTGTGTTGCTGTATTTAATATGATGAAATTTGTACCAAATAAGGAGCATTCGCGGACAGCATTAATTTTTTGTTTTTATTTGAAGAAAACTGCTGCGGAATCATACCGATTACTTGGAGAAGTTTATGATGAACATGCTCCATCACAAAAAACGTGTGTGAACGATGGTTTCAAAATTGGAGATTTCGATGTTGCAGACAAGGAACACGGAAAACCCCCCCAAAAAGTACGAAGACGTGGAATTGCAAGCATTGCTGGATGAAGATGATTCACAAACACAAAAACAACTCGCAGAGCAATTGAGCGTTTGTCAACAAGCTGTTTCTAATCGCCTACGAGAGATGGGAAAGATTCAGGAAGTCGGCAGATGGGTGCCACATGAATTGAATGAGAGACAGATGGAGAGGCGTAAAAACACATGTGAAATTTTGCTCGAACGATATAGAAGAAAGTCATTCTTGCATCGTATCGTTACTGGGGATGAAAAGTGGATTTTTTTTGAGAATCCCAAGCGCAAAAAATCATGTGTAGATCCAGGCGCACCATCGACAGCAAGACCGAATCGCTTTGCCAGGAAGACGATGCTCTGTGTTTGGTGGGATCAGAAGAGTGTGGTCTATTATGAGCTATTGAAGCCTGACGAAACGGTTAATACCAAACGCTATCAACAACAATTGATCGATTTGACCGCTGCTTAAAAAACGACCAGAATACCAAAAGAGGCAACACAAGATCATTTTTCTCCATGACAATGCTCCATCACATACGGCAAAACCAGCTCGGGACACGTTGGAAACACTCAGCTGGGAAGTTCTACCCCATGCGGCTTACTCACCAGACTTGGCTCCTTCCGATTACCACTTGTTTGCATCGATGGGTCACGCATTTGCTGAGCAGCACTTTGATTCGTACGAAGATATGAAAAAATGGCTCGATGAATGGTTCGCGGCAAAAGGGGAAGATTTTTACTGGCGTGATATCCACAAATTCCCCGAAAGATGGGAAAAATATGTAACTAGCAATGGAGCATATTTTGAATAAATCTCTTTCTATCATTCTTCCGAATTTAACGTGTTTTTTTTTGGGAAAAAAATCGTCATTTCATACTTGTACACCTGTATCATAAGTATCAAGAATACTAGTCAAAAAAAAGCTGAGCTATCTCGTTTTGTATATATATTTGCTATAACAATCATTAATTAATTTTATTTGAAAAATTTTAAAGAGATCTTAATTACTTTTGCTAATGTAATTAGATAATGTACACATGTCTCTTTTTTCTTTTTCAGTGAAGAAATATAAACGACAGTTAAATCTTAACAACAAATATTATAATTAAGCTATCATAAAATTTCTAATTATATATGTTACAATTCTGTTAATTTAAAAATTAAATGGCAAAATGTCATGTTGCAGCCATGGAAGCATTTGCAGACAGCACTGTCGTGGATGATCGGTCATGCTGCTTGGGCTTGGGCAAGAACGGGCATATTAGATTATGAAAACGCGGAAGCTTATAGCTATGTTAGCGACGATGAATCGGCTGTTCATAATGATGATGAGGAGAGTGAGGAGAAACCACCAATCACTGACAAAGACGATAGATTAAACTTTGATCAAAATATTCTGATCAATCGTACACGCCCGGAAGTGTGCGATCAAGAGGTAAACTTTAATTTAAAAGATACATAGATACTAAATTACTAAAATTATTAATTATATAATTATAATGTTATAATTATAATGTTGATTATATAATTATAATATTGGATTTACTAAAATTGGTTCTAAGTTGGTCAGGAAAATGAGTAATGAGATACATTGTAAATAATATTATTATTTCTAAATAATATTATTACTAAATAATATTATTACTTCTAAGATAGTTTTTCTAAAAATTAGAGTATTTCTAAGTAAGTTATTTTGATATCTATGCATTGAATCTGCAGATATATTTGTACCTGCGAAACGCTTCGTTTGACTCATATGACATGGACATGGATTGCGAGCATAGGTGGTACATGGTACAATCGGTAGCTTATAGCAATATGCTGTTAGTGGTAGTGAATACCAATTGTGGAGACACGACATCACCGATATTGAGTGTCAAGCCCGAGGAGGTGATTTACGAGAATAATACGTTGGTTTGTCAGAAGGCACTTACTGGTCTCAAGCGAAAACGACCACAGTCTTGTATACGTTCGAATCCTCGCGAGAGCGACATCAAGGATCAGTGCGGTTTGGCGACAAACGCCAAGATGAATTTGTTCCTCTTGATGTTGCTGCTGATATGCGTAGTAGCCGAAAAAAACACCTTCCTGCTTGGTTAAAATCAATCTGATTTTGTAGTTAATAATTGGTGTCAAACTAATTAACAATGAAATTCATAATATGCTTGATATGAATTGAAACTTTCGCCTGCATACTATGTGGACATTTGTACATCCAGTTGTCTTGTCCGACGATCAGGATTGCTACATAATGCATATTTAAACTATTTTCTATTTATTTGTTAATTTCTATAATTAATGAATTTTTCCTGCACGAGTTAGAATTCATATAATTATATTTAATTTAAAAACAAGAAGAAATCTGAGTAAATGGAGAATTTAGTAAGAAAGAAATAATGAAAGTAAATTATAACTCTTTCTCTCTTTTCAAAATATTTTTTAGATTAAACTTTTTTTATTCTCTCTTCAATATATCAATCCTGATCAGGAGTACTTGCGATATTTTGTGCTCTCTATTTCTCATTACTATCTTGTTATTATAAATATGGTCGCAGTCGAGTTCTAGACGAATTAATGTGCTATTCCCAATCTCCCTCCCTGCCCGGTATAGTTTCTATGCGATCAATCAAATGTGGCGAACGCAATTGATATCAAAATGTGTGCTAAGATACAAAATTGTCCTCCATCGTCATTGATCGTCAAATCAGATCAGATAATCAGAATTAAAACACTTAGCGTAGGATCGTTCGCTAACACATTTTCGATCATGAAATAAAGAAATAAATGCGATTCAGTAAATGATTTTTCTAAATGCGTTTTATTATATTAAAGAAGATTGAATTAAAAGAAATCGAGTTACATACAGTTATGATGTATTTTTATATTGTTTAAGCAATTATTGTTTATACAATTATCTGGATATAAAATTGAATGTCTCAAATATGCATAACTGTCTAGCATTTCTAGCATCGAGTATATAATGTCAAAATGATTTTTCAAGTACATCCGATTATTAGAAGAATTTGTCTTTTTTGAAAAAAATCAGAAAACAAATTTTGCTGAATATCAGGATTCGTTCCGAAAACAAGTGTCTTAACCGACTTTGACACTTTCATCATATATAGATAGGACAATTGAATGGTACAAAGAAGCTCCAAGTATTCTGAGTCGATCTAGTCAGTTTAAATGCTAATTCATTGAGATGTAGATTTTTCTAGACCGGAGCAGGGTTGCGTACTATGATGCATGTTCACAAATACACTACGGTACACTCGCTTTGTACATTATAAACCAATAGCGATATGGGGTGGCGACGCGTCAACATCTACATTACAAAACGTTAATTTTGTATATCGCTGTATTATATTGAGATGTGTGTGTGCGTGCGTGCGTGCGTGCGTGCGTGCGTGTGTGTGTGTGCGTGTGCGTGTGTGTGTGTGTGTGTGTGTGTAAAAAAAGTGTGTGCCTTTTTTTGGACACGCGGTTAAAACAAAAAGAAAAAGAAAAAAAAGAAGAATATGAGATCTTGTTGTACGTTTATTAAATAAATTACCGAACGTTCTATATATTACCGCTGAACTCCAATTCTCGGATAGTAGCCTCGTCGCGGGAACGAGTTCCATTCGGGGAATGGGGGATGTTGTTTGTATTACATAGAGTTTATTACAATTTGCTATGTACAACGGCTTGCCTATGTAAAACAAGAACGTTTTCGTATCAAAATGACAACTTTTCAAGAGAAGACTGAACTTTACTTAAACCTCAATTATGCCTCTAAATATCTCACTATTCCCTTCACTTTTTACATATTTACATACATGTTCTGTCCTGTTTTCCAGCTTTTTTGGCTGTTTGCCATCTTTCCACTCTGCGTATACTCCTGAAAATTCTAAGAATTCTGCGGCCTATAATAATCTCAATTATAGTTTTTTTTATTTCTCCTTTTTTTAAATGTACTTATATTCATTTATTAATATTAATATAATATTATAATATTCATATTGAGTTAGGGAAAATCTTTTCACAAGTTGATAAAAAAAGACCTTTCCTCATCAAATATTTTCGTTAAAAATGATAAAAATTTAAATTTAAAAAAGTTTTAAGCTCTCTACTTTTGAATAGTTGCTATATATTTTTTGAATTTATGTGAGTTTAATTTTTATGGTATATAGTTTTATATGTATATAAAAAAACTACGAACTGAAAAAAAATTTTCTTTTTACTTTGTAGGTATTATTCTGTAGCATGTCCAAAAAAAATTTGAGCAAATTTTCGATTCTTCTATCGTGAAAGCTTAAAGCTTTCTCTACAAAATTATTTTGTAAAAATGTTTCTATGATTTTTTTGTTCCTGAGTTACTCGCGGATTAAGTAAAGACAAACATTCTGACTTTATTACTCGTAACTCCATTAAAAATCATTGTATTATAATTAACTATTATAATTAAAATATTATTAATTAAATATTATAATTAAAAATACAGATTCTTAAAGCTGAAGCATTGCTTTATCAAGTGGCGTAAATATCAATTTTTTTTAAAAATAGTATATGTGCTGCTATAGATTGCTAAAAGTTTTTTTACTTGTTAAGGAACATTTTCCCTAATCTAATAGTAATACATATTGATATTGATGATAAATGCCAATAATTTTTTAATTATATTTAATCTTTCATCTTTATTTTTAATCTTTCAAAAGTGAGAAGCACTCCAAAATATTTCTTCGAGAGCACGATTTGAATTTAGCGCTATTTTGTCATGTAGTCACGTGACTATTTAGACTATTTAGTGACTCTGCACAATAAAAAGAACTAAGAACAGAGAATAAGAATTTCAACCTATCGGAAACTGTGTATTCCACAATATATGATTTCTGATAGGTTGAAATTCTTATTCTCCATTCTCTGTTTCCTGTTTCTTTTATTGAGTGAAGCCTCTTTTAGTTTTAACCCAAGACAGGTCTGTTTTCTAGTACACTTTTGAATTTGAAGAAATTCAAACAATCATAATTCTTTATTTCATGGAAAGGAAGGAAACTTTGATTGGTTCAATTTCTTATGCATTACGTGTTATGCGTTATGCAAGAGTGTGCTCCCCGCTTCAAAGTGAGATAGATGTACATTTGATATTTGTTTAAAGCGAGAAAGAGAGTTCTAGAACAGTTTAGTGCAGGAACAGAAAATAGACCACCAGATGTCACTGGAACTGGGACGCATCTTTGTGGGGTGAAGAGGGAGAGGAGAGGCAGAGTTTAGTTCCCCTCTCGGTCTCATGATGCAAGCGAATTGAAGCGAATGAAAGCGAGTTCTGGCGGATTTGAACGACATGTATATTGGAATATAGTTGTGAGTATAAGCCACTACCCATGGTCTTCGTTTAATTTCGTACCAAGTGTTTCATCCAGTTTCATCCGATTTTAACGAAAGCAGAATCCGTAGAAATGGCCATGCAGCCATTCAAGAAGCGCGTCTGTTATTACTATGATAGTAAGTACTAAAAGAGCTTTCTAAAACCACAGAAATATACCTTGGAACCTTGTCGAAATATGTTGCACTTCTCACGTTTATACACCTCTATTTTATCTCACTTGACATTTGGTCACTAATCAGCCTCTTTTTCGCTTGATAGATGACAGATAGTAAGAAGCACGATTGTCTCGGCGCCGTAAACTGAGATTTGCATGTTCATTATGTTTGATAATATGATTTTCGCATGGTTAAGTCAACAGACTCTCGACCGTGCTATCGCGCGACTGTAGCGTCAGCCGTTCTTGGTTACATAGCTATTATGTATCTGTATATCCAAGTGTAATTACAATAAACTATGATAATATAATTATTTTTCCAATATATTTTACATATTCTCAAAAATATTTTCTGTATTGAATTGATAATTTAATCAACATAATGGAAAGTAATATAGTTTTTATAGAAAGTGGCGAAAGATTCTCAAATATATTCCGGTATACTATAGTCTTCACTAAAACACATCTATTAATGATAAATGAAAAATTTGAGACTTTATATATTGTTTTGATTTATTTAAGCATGTTTTCAATTTAACCAGGTGATATTGGAAATTATTATTATGGTCAAGGACATCCTATGAAGCCACATCGTATACGGATGACACATAATTTACTCTTGAATTATGGTCTTTATAGAAAGATGGAAATATACGTAAATACATTTTTATAATTATCTTCCATTTATGTATTCATCTTTTTACTTGTTTATAGTTTTCTATCAAAATATATTTATTTATTGTGGTTATTATAATGTATTTACATTTTATTGTCTAGCGACCTCATAAAGCTACAGCAGAAGAAATGACAAAATTTCATAGCGATGACTACATCAGATTTTTGAGATCAATACGACCAGACAATATGGGAGAATACAATAAACAAATGCAACGATGTAAGACATTATTGTTGAATAATAATGATTGAAATGATGTTTTTTGAAACATTTTGATATTTTTTTCTTTGTGGGACAGTTAACGTAGGAGAAGACTGCCCTGTTTTCGATGGTTTATACGAATTTTGTCAATTATCAGCTGGTGGATCTGTAGCTGCTGCTGTTAAACTCAACAAGCAAGCCTCAGAAATTTGTATCAATTGGGGTGGTGGCTTACATCATGCAAAGAAGAGCGAAGCTTCTGGTTTTTGCTATGTAAATGATATTGTACTTGGGATCTTAGAATTGCTAAAATACCATCAGAGAGTTTTATATATCGATATTGACGTTCATCATGGCGATGGTGTAGAGGAAGCTTTTTATACAACAGATAGAGTAATGACGGTATCATTTCATAAATATGGCGAGTATTTCCCTGGAACAGGAGATCTTCGCGATATGGGAGCAGGAAAGGTAAAAAAAAGTTATTAAAATATTGTAATAATATAGTCTCTATAGTATTACTTATCTGAAATATTAACGCATTACTAATATATATAGTTTCTCTTTGTCATTACTAACAGGGAAAGTACTACGCAGTTAATATACCTTTAAGGGATGGTATGGATGATGAAAGTTATGAATCGATATTCGTTCCTATCATCTCTAAAGTGATGGAGACATTTCAACCTTCTGCTGTTGTTTTACAATGTGGAGCAGACTCATTAACAGGTAAGATTTTTTTTTAAAAGAGAAATTATGTCACAAAAATAAAATTACATAATTTTCAATGCAAATATCAATCATTATATAGGTGATCGATTGGGATGCTTTAATTTAACTGTGAGAGGCCATGGTAAATGCGTAGAGTTTGTGAAAAGATATAATTTACCTTTTTTGATGGTGGGAGGTGGTGGTTATACTATCAGAAATGTCTCCAGATGTTGGACATATGAAACATCAGTGGCTCTCGGATGTGAAATCGCTAACGAGCTTCCATATAACGATTACTTTGAATATTTTGGCCCTGACTTTAAATTGCATATTAGTCCTTCAAATATGACAAATCAAAACACTTCCGAATATCTCGATAAAATTAAGTAAGTTCTGATTTTCATTTCTATGTGTAATTTGTTTTTATATGTAGAGGAAAGGACCCCATTATGAGATATCGCGTATGGAGAATTAAAAAAATAATAGGTTATTTTGAAGGAAATTTAATAAACTTTAAGATGATGTTATGTAAAATTTAATTCAAATTCTATTTTTTTTTTTAATTAAAGAAATAAAAAGTGAGCAAATCGCAAAGTCAAAAAATTCTTCTAATACGAGATGCTCCGAGAAATCGATAATAAAACGCAAAGTACATCAGTATTGCAATTAAAAAACTTTATTTAATGTTTCTAAAATATAAACAAACAGCCAATATAAGCGAAAAATAAGAATGTAATGGATTATATTCAGAATTTGTCTTCAGATAATTGGAACCAAGTATCTCAGAAATAGACACTCAATGTTCATTCCAGTTGTCTTTTTATTATTGTACAATAACATTTATACTTTAGCAATGATTTTCATAGGATATGACATAGGAGCATAGATTATTTCATATCAGAAATACTCTATATCTCATATTACGATTTCCATGCCTTATATGATTTTATGATTATCAATTCTAACTTCTGTAATTAAACAATTCAACATATATTTTTCTATTAGTATAACCTTACTCTATCACTATATGAAGAATTTATTGCCAAAATTTTTAAATGATAAATAAGTTTTAAAGGCTCAATGAAACTTGAAGATATTCAAATTCTAAAATCTTTTTTTACAATGACTACAGACATGATCTAATAATGAATTTTCCATTAAATAGTTCTCAATCTAAGAGCAATAAATTCATGGTGAAACCAATAGATAGCATTTATTTTAGAAACGCCGCTATCTCATAATAAGGGGTTTTCCTCTAATACTAACAAACTAATTCGTCATTGATTTTTATTATAGAACAAGGTTATTTGAAAACCTGAGAATGCTACCTCATGCACCTGGCGTACAAGTTCAGGCAATACCAGAAGATGGTGCCGTTATTGAAGATTCAGAAATTGAAGAGAAGATGAATCTTGATGAAAGATTGCCTCAACGTGATTTAGATAAGAGAATACAACATGAGAATGAATATAGTGATAGTGAAGATGAAGGTGAAGGTGGGCGAAGAGATAACAGATCATACAAGGTAATGACCTTTATATTAATCTCTATACTTGATCAATTTAAAAAAGTGCATTATTTGCATTATACATAAATATTGAATTTTGACATTTTTTTATATTAAAGGGATCTACGAAGCGACTGCGTTTGGAAAAAGGTCAAGAAATGGATATGCGTATTATGAACATTAATTCAAAGAAAGAAGATGATATGAAATCAGACCTGAGAGGTATTACATTAATTTTTTATTTTATTTTTGCAAATTAATTTTCAGAACAAATCTGTCCAATTTGAACTAAAAACGTAAAGCCATCGACGCAAAAAATTCAACGTAAGATTTCGAAGACTGTAAAATATTGACAAATGTTATTCAGTTGTGTTGTATATCAACACTATATTAAAAAGTATAGTTGATCAAAAAGTTCCCGGAATTCAGAAAATTCAAAATACAAGTTTTATTCATCAAAAGTGATATTGTCCCCTTCAAAGTACTTCCCATCGACTGCAACGCACTTATGTCAGCGCTTGATCCAGCTCTCGAAACATTTCTGGAACTCTATTGTCGGTATAGCCATTAGAGCCGTCTTCGATTTTTCCATTATCTCCTTTCGGCTGTGTGTAAAACGCATTCCCTGTAATGGTTTTTTTCATGCCACTCATAAATGGCTATTTTCTTTAGAATATCACTGCCGAGACAGTTTCCCAACATTTCCAAGGTTTTCACACCATTGAATCCATTTTTAACGCAAAATTTAATACAAACTCGTTGTTGCAAATTCAACTCCATTTTTAAAACTGTAAAAAATCGAAAATACGTGCAGAGGTAGATGTACTCAAGACGGCGTAACTTTTACAAATGTCAAGCTATGGTGATAAAATTTGGTGGGAATGTCAATGATAGATGTGGGAACCTAACCAAAAAAACAGAATTCAAATCAGCTGTCTCAGAGCATCACCTGGTGGTAATTCCGAGAACTTTTTGATCAAGGTATAGTCTCCGAAATCTTACCCACATTGAATCTTTTTGCGTTTTGGCTCCGAAGCTTAAATTGGACAAGTTTGATTTAGAAACATAATAAATAGAAATATAATATAAATATTTCTGTTTAACTAGAAAATGAAAAGGATGAGAAAATAAATTTCCTAAATGAAGAAATAAGAAAAGATAGTGGAATTAATATCTGATAAGTGACTGCTTCAGAATTTGCATATCTGCACAAGTACAAAAGTCCCTATTTAAAAATTTAGATAAGTTTAGATTATTTAAATGAAGAAATAATAGAACTCTTTTCATGGGATCGTTATTGTGCTGCATATTGAAGCCTCTTCAGATAGCGATATCATGTGTGTGCAATCTGCTTAGGCCTGAACGAAGATAAAATATATGGAATCCAAATATAGAAAGAAATATGTGTACATCAATGACGAGGATCTTTTCCATGGTTCTTAAGGATTAAGAAAAAGCACCGATATGAAGATGAAATTATTAACATATGAATTTTGTATATTACTGTATTTGTACTTTTGTATTTAATGAAATAAGTAAAGTTGTTTTACATCACAATTAAGACAAAAAATAAATACAAAATTCCATATGTTTATCAGCAAATTCGGCGAATGCGTGCGTGCGTGCGCGCGCGCGCGCGTGTGTGTGTGTGTGTGTGTGTGTGTGTGTGTGTGTGTGTGTGTGTGTGTGTGTGTGTGTGTGTATGTATCATATATAAAATTAAATTAGTCTGTCTTATCAAATGAGAGGAATGATATCTCGATCAAATAAATGAGAATGTGTTAGTATATATTACTACATATATTACATATATTTGATTATGTGTTCTGTACAATGCCTATGTAAAACAAATCTTATATACAATCTTTTATATCAAAATGATAATGTTAGAATGGATTACTTCGATTGTGACTCCAGTTTTTTTATTACTTCTAACAGGGTTTCTATCCGCATGTGATTATATAATCTGTCCTCCAATTCCTCTAGAGCTACTCCACCTTGCATAAATTCTATCAAGTTGAAAGTCCCATTTTGGCCTAGCCTATGGTCAGTCACACGATTCTGATTATAATTATATGTCCTGATTTTCTCATTCCTGAATCCCATTCCCATTTGCTTTTGCCGTAATTTACTTGTGAACGATGTTTGCTTATTCAATTGCTGTTCATACAGGATACTCCTCAGTTTGTCCATCGCTATTTTTTTATTCTTACCTTGTGACCTATGTACTTGACAGGTAACGCTTAACCCGCTTGGCAAATGTGTTATCCTCACTGCAGAGTCTGTAGTGTTCACATGTTGACCACCTGCACCAGATGATCTTTTTGTCTCTATTTTTAGATCATTCTTATTAATCATAATCTGTATTTCTGATGGCACTGGCAGAATAGCCACTGAGGCAGTACTGGTATGTACTCGGCCTAATTTTTCTGTAGCTGGTACCCGTTGTACTCTGTGTACACCACCCTCATGTTGAAACTTGTCGATTTGATCGCCAGATATCATAATACTGATATGTCTAATACCCTTATTATCAGTCGTCTCTATGTCGATCACTTCATGATCCAAATCTAAATATTTGACATAACCTATGTACATATCATACAAGTCTTTAACGAACAACATTGCTTCCTGACCACCAACACCTGCCGTTATTTCAATAATGATGTTACTGTAAAAATCTTTGTACATGTTTGTCAGTATCATGTGCAATAATCTTTCATCAAGTTCATTTAATTGTTCTTTGTACAACATTGTTTCTTCTTCCGCTAATTTTTTTATCTCTACATCTTGTTGCCCTGTAAAAAGAAATTTTCATTGTAAACTATAATAAATAATGTCAAATGCCGTACTGAACATATTCCATTTACCTAAGTCATGCAAATTTTGAATATTTTCCACAAGTTGTACTCTTTCATTAAATAAACTACCGGAAGCATTTAAATCGACAAAATCGATAAAGTTATTACTTTGCCAGGACTTGTTTCTGTACTCATTCGTGAGATAATCCAAAAACTTTTTAGTTTTGTCATCTAAAATATTTAGTTTCGCGTATGTATTGCAAAAACTACTCGAAGTCCAAAACAGGTTAGTTAACGACCAAGCATGTAACTCATGAAGCTTTAGCCTATTTACGAGCGTCGAATACCAGCAACTATCGAATTTGCATCTTCGAACTAGTAAAGACATTCTGCGAATCCTTGTATCGTATAACGATACAATAATACAACTGATTTTGTACAACAACGACAAGATGAAAAATACACACGCGAGACCTGTTCTTTTTCGAAGAAAGTTCTGAACCTGAATTAGTGAAGAACCGATGTAATAAGTTGGAGTAAAACTATATTTGTTTCGCTCCAACTTATTATTGCATCAATATATCGTCAGTTTAGAATTTTCTTCAAAAAAGAAGAATCTTAAGTAATAAATTGCTCAGTAACTCTATTTAAATTTATCTCTTTCTCATACAGCATTACTTCAAGATATCTTCCATTTACACCAATTGATACATATATATATGTATATATGTCATTCTAACTTTCTTTGCATTTCATGAATAACGAAGACAGAATGATTGTGTCGACTTATATCACTTAAATACCTATTTATATTTGAAATTAAAATTTAAAAAGAAACACATGTTACACAAACTATATACACATGTATCTATAAAATATTACATTATCAGCTCTGAAATTTTAACTTGACTATATCGTTAACATTTATATTTAATAATGCAATAAGTTAGAGAGAGAGAGAGAGAGAGAGAGAGAGAGAGAGCACGGAAAATGAATAAGAAATGAGAAGAGGGAAGTTCAGATGGCGATGTTAGTCAAGTTGTTTCGCGCATGCGTTCTCCGTTTTGGATACATTCATCAAAAGCGTCGACATCTGACAGGAGAACGACAGAGAGTCGCACTGCTGTATTTGCTTCAGTGGTGAGTGGCCTGCCAGTAGCCGTCACTCTAACAGTTAGGCACGGTAAACGGTTAAGTCAGTGGTGGGTTTGTTATCAATTGTAAGCGCGACGTGATCGCCAGTGATCGCGTGGGAGAGTCAGTAGTTCGCGCCAACAACAGTCGTTACTGGCAGATGCTCTGGTGTGACATTTTCCTATAATCAACTAATAATGACGGTGACGGTAAATACGGATTTGCGGCGCGAGCGTGAGAGATGCAGCTTCGATCCCATGGAGTTAACGAATTTCTGGGATGGCAGTAAGGTGAAGACGTCGCATCGACATGAGCTAGGTTCGTCGTTTCGTTTAATCTCGCTGATTAATTCGCACGCGTTGCTCGTATGTATATATATATATATATATGTATATATATATATATATATATTACATGACGTAGTATCTTTGTCTTATCATTGCGAGAATTGCTATGAAATGTTAACGCCCAATCACTGAATACTATTAATCACTTCTATTTATCAGCTATTGTATATACTTTTTGCGATAAAGCGCTAAAACTTACACATCACATCCTCTGTTTCGCGATCTATAATTTATCTTACACAAATTAGATTTATTATATTACATTTATTCTTGGATTTATTTGTGATTTGTTGCAAGCATTCTGAACACTTATTATTTTCTATAGAAAAAAGAAAATAAAAAAGATAAATACGTGCAACTTAATTATTTTACAATAATTGTAAATTGAAAATGGGAAAAAGAATTCTATCGCAAATTGCAAGGAGTACTTACTTTACTTTACATTTAAAACGTGAATGGCTAATAACGTTTATAACAAATAGAAAGGTTTACAACTTTCTATGATATTTTCTAGGAAATACATTGAGAAATAGTACATGTAAAAGTGTGAAAGGCGTGAAAGTTTATACTTCATTACTAAATAGAGTAGTCTTTTGATTTCTCGTAATTTCACAATAAATTATTCTTTTTTTTGCGTAATAATATTATTCTTAATATTCTTAATATTAGTATTAATGAAAGAAGTAGAATCAGATTTCATTCTTTAACGATCTTCCCTTTTTCCCGTCTTGGATAAGCCACACGCTCACCAGCGAGTAACGAGTGTGTAAAGATAGAAGATATAAATTAGGATAATTAATAGGATTTAGATAAGATCTTTCCTTTATATTGATATATGAAATTATTATTCTAAAACTCGTTATCAAATTGCAGATAAATACTTTTTTATCATATTTCGGAGTTTGTAAAATGTTCATTCTTGAGTTTATTGTTTGTCTAATCAAACATTATATCTATTAATAAAATCTTTATTTACTTTAAATATAAAACTCCAATGTTAATTCATTATGTAGATAGTTCGATGTAAATCTAATTAATAACAGTTTTCGTGATATACCGATTTTAATATACCATAATTGATTTATAAACAATTATTTTTCCATTAATACCGCGTATGGTGCGTATAAACAAATGTTTACCCAACAACCATGTACATAATATATTCAAATATATATATTTAATTTTATAAATATATAAGGTCCATTTTAAATGATGATCTTAAATATCTCTTGAAAAATGAATTAAAAAAAAAAAATTTTATATAAAAGTTGTCTATAGTTGAGAAGTTGCAAATAAAGATAAAATTAATATTTGAAAGAATGAATTTTTTAAGATTATTTACAAATTATCGTCATTATTTAAAATAAAATAATATTTTTACATAATGTGATGCCTCTAATTATTCTAAATATAAAATTATTAAGATAGAAGTATATTTAATTCATTTTTTATTCGTTCCATTTTTGATGGATTTTTCTGCCGTACTTTATTCGATGGACTTTACTGTTACTTATCTTTTAGTATTACATCTTATATGCTTTATTTAGGTCAAGGTAAACATACATAAATGTTTTTTAATTTATAATTATTTTTGTATTGTTTCAGTTGTAATCAAAAGTTATTTATTAGCTTCGGTTACATTAATTTATTTTCAGACATATTCGAGTTCAATAGCATATATATAAAATTATTTTAATATTAT